CGCCAAGGTTCATGACTGCTCCGTAATTTTCATGAGCAGTCTGTAGTAGTAGAGAGAAACTACCCAACAGCCTATATATATTGCCGTTATTGTAAATAAAAGGAGGAAAAATCCCCTTGGCTTTTCTTACATTGAAGGCAGATTTTTTGGGGGTAATCCTTTAGATCTAGTGATTAGAGGTAGAGGCGTGTGTTAACTAGAAGAAGGCTTGCTTCTTTTTTTCCTGCTCTTTTGCTGGCTGATGATGCAACTTCCAGAACAAAATTAACAGGATGATGGCTCATAAACCAATTGTTTTAGGGCTCATTCACGTAACTGTGCTAAGAGGAATAGTGCTTGTGATAAAGAAGGGGATTTGTCACTTATCCCTTAGTAGCATGTTGGTAAAAGACCCCAGTTCAAAAGGTAGGAGCTTGGAATCAGCCAGACAGGCCACAGGGTTTTACCATGTTACTGGCAGCATTGCAATCTCACGTGGCTTCTGTTTCATGAGGGAACTTTTAACTTTTATCCTCCTCCCCTTATAACTTAAGGGCATTAGAATATCCCTTCTCTATGTTGGCAGTACAGGTAGTCCTCAAGTTACACCCACAGTTGAGCCCTACGTTTAGGTTGCTAAGTGGAATATTTGTTAAGTGAGTTTTGCCGCATTTTTTTACAACTTTTCTTGCCACGGTGGTTAACTGAATCATTGCATTTGTTAAGTTAATACCGTGGTTGTTAAGTGAATGTAGATTCCCCATTGACTTTGGTCGCAAAAGGTGATCACATGACCCTGGACTTTGCAACCATCCTAAATATGAACCAGTTGCCAAGCATCTGAATTTTGGTCACATGAACATGAACTTGCCGCAATGGTCGTAAGTGTGGAAAATGATCGTCACTTTTTTTAGTGCTGTTGTAACTTTGAAACAGTCACTAAATGAACTGTTGTAAGTCGAGGACTACCTGTATATTTTGTGTGCTGTCATTGGTTCTGTGATACATCTGGCTCCTTCCAAACTGAGAAAACTCTGAAAATGTAATAATATTTGAATAAACCCCCCTCTTGAAGCACTCTTCTGTGTATTTTTAATTTATATATTTTTTATAATGAACATCACTGGAATTACTATACTTGCCATGTAATGTTCCATTAAGCCAGGTAAGATTAGTATGTAAGGAGAGAGTTAGAGTTGAAATACAAAGACGGCTGAATAGCTTGGAATTTTCCATGAAAGCCAATGTATTCAAGGGTTTATTTTTATTTTTTTCATGGTGCAATATTCACTTAAAACCAAGGTGGACAATACAATATACAATTGTGCTGGATACCCTCCATCAGCCTTCCCATAGTCAATGCTTTTAAAAAAATTATATTTATGGCTGCATTTCAAATGTATTGTGCTTGAGGATTTTACATTCATATGGCATGTTATTCAGCCAGCATAACTGGATGAACAAGGAAAGGATGTGCTGCCCTACTTCACACACTGCTAGGTCATGGTTTGTTGAATAAGTCACAACTGAATGAGTTCAGTAAGCCCTCCTAGCCAGTATGTTTTTCCTCACAAACCGGTATTTGAATTGTCTCACGACACTTAGCCAAACCAATCGTGGTTAGAGGTGGTGACAGTTGCATCTGGAGGCATCCGATCAGCAAGTCCTTGTTTTAAGAAATTGATGTTCACAGCAACTGACGTAGCCTTTTCAAAAAATTAAATCAGATCTTAGGGCAGGGATTTGGATTCCAATGCCCGTCAGCTCAAGCATGACGTTTCAAATGATCCTGGATTATCACGTTTGTAATGCAAGAACAGGGTTATATTGCTTTTCACAATGACTATCGTTGGAAAGCTAACCACAAATTAATTTAAAATCCAGCTTCTAAAGGGCTGCACTTTCTGTTCCTGTAGATAGGTTGTTTGCAAGAGTCATTTGCAAAGGTAGCTAATGAATTTCCACATGCTGAGGCAAAATATCTTTGTATAAGATCCAGGAAAGAAAAAATAACAAAAACCCTTATAACTCCCATGCCCTGTTTGTGTATGTCTATACATAAACCAGCTGGTCCTTCCTTTAAAAAAAGAAAACTGTGGACCCAACGAGCCTCAGCTTGAGCCAGGGAGGCAATTGCTATATTTTTGTGTTTTATAGAAGCCAACCTGGGATGCTGTAAGCATGCCACAAGATGGTATAGTCATAAAAAACAGGAGAAGTTCATTATAAACATCAAACAGAAAGAACATCTGGGCTGCATGGTAACTCTAGAAAGCAAACCCAGGCCCTCCCTTCAACCTACATCATTCTGTAGAAAGCTACTGTTACTCCACTCCCATGGAATATGGAAATTTTATCTGCAAAACTGAAAAGGGATAGTTTTTAGTTTTGTTTGTAAATTGCAATAACATCTGCTTGCCGACATATGTGCAGACAACCTAAAAAGCTGTAGGATTTTGCTGCAGGGTGCCTATTTATCAGGAAACAGGATTACTTAATGTTACTTGCCAGAGATCAACTACTACTTAAAAAAAAAAAAAAAACCCTGCTCCTCTCCCAACCCTAACTGTCTTCTGAGTGTGTGGAAAACTCCCACTAAGTACTGATCAAAACAATTGCACAGTAAAGTCATGTAAATTAAAGACACCAATTAAAGGCGTGTAACATATCACTTCTGTAACTTGCTTGCCTGATTAATGTATGGAAGTCATTATCACAAGTTCTGGCTTTTCTCTTTTAGAGAAAATATTGGTACCTCCCCCTTTTTTTCAGCAGTTCATTTTAGAATGGCTGGACTTTGGCAAAGGAGGGGGGGGGGTTGAAGTTGGCAAGTAACTAGTAAAAAGCTCATTCCTTCTTCTAGATTATTTCTGTCTGACAGTCTGCTTCCCTCCTGCCCCCTTCCTCTTTGGTCTCTTAGCCAGATGGTGAGAAAAGCACCTTTAGCAGATCACTTTTTAAGGGAACAATTAGTAGCTTTTACCTGCCAATTGCCATTTGATAATCTGGCTCTGATCTCCAGGACTTTGATTTCCATGAGAAAAACCAAGTACCGAGGCTGCTGCTTATTTCTCCCCTTTGCCATGGACCTCCAAGAATGGAATGGACTGATTTGATTATGTATTATCAACTCCTATCTACTATAACTACATGAAATAAGGGTAATTGTTGAAATAAATTCATGGAGGAGGGACCAATTGATAACTTCCAGCCTTGTGCCCTAAATGGAAATGCACTGGCCACTTGAGTAAAGAGGCTAAGTGATTGGATTCAATTTCAGTCATTTCTGGGTGGCAAAAATCCACACGACCCCTAGATGGCAATAAAGAGAAACATAAAACTGTACTGTCAGTATCCAACAATTAGAATGTCCTAGTTAGTAGTATATATGATCCCTTTAATTTGCCAAGGAAATTGGAGGTTAATTTTGGTAATGAACTCTGGATTCCGTGCAATTTATCTGGTTCAATAAGTTAATGTTTGCAAAGGTTTAAAAGCATATGTCCCTGTATGATTATCAAAACTGATGTATTTCCTTCCTGACTGTAGCAGGCTGTACTTCAGATCATTCTTACGGGAGAATCCATACAAATCTAGATGCTTCCCATAATGTCTGTAACTCCATGTCATATATGTTTTCAGGCTCATTAATGCTATTATTATAAGGGATAAATGTGAGGATAAATAAGATGGCTCTTTTGGCTTCTATCTACTGTATCTAGAAACAGTAAAAAAAAAACCTAGCTGTGTATTGTTCTTCAGTGGCACTCATTATTTATTATTTGCAGATATTTGAAGCTGTTGATGTGATTGATCATCACTGTTACTATATTTTTACATTCACATTTGTTTTTTTAATCTTAAAGTGTACATAATGATAAAGCTAAACCAAATGGATGTACTAGGTCCAGGTGTTGTTACTATTGCACAACATAGGGTCTGAATTCCGAACTGAAATTACAAGCATATTTATTTGGGAAATATCCACATGGTATCCAATCTGTTTACTTCCAGGTAAGCAAGTAATAAGTTGCACTAATTTGTGACACTTAACCTTGAATGCTGGTTTGGATCATTGATGCTACCTAATGGAACCCCAGTTGTCACTCTGACCAAGACTTTTAGGCATGTATATTTGGCCATCAGACGTATTGTATTCTGCTCTGCAGGTCCCAGCTTGTGAATCACATGCCAGAATGCAACTCCTACCATTATTTAGAATCCTTTCTGAAATCCCCATAATGGTTCTCCTCCTGGCTACTTCCTGAATTTGATACTGAGAATCAAGCACAATCTGTTCGAGGCAATCTAACTTTTTTCCATTAAGAAGTTGATATTGAGACAGAATTAATAAAAACACTAGTCTTGCCTGCAAGATAAATAATCTTATTTCCACATTCTTTGGGGACCAATAAAGCAACAATTTCCTCTAAGCAAATCCTCAAGATTTTGGCCGTGTCTCTCATTTCAAACTTTGTACTCTCCGATAATAAAATAGGCATATTAATAGTTATAAAACTAACTTAGATATATACTTTAATGATTAAAAGCCATTATGGTGGCATAATGGTTAGAATGCAGTACTGCAGGCTAACTCACTGCTCACTGCCAGGAGTTCAATCCTGACCGGCTCAAGGTTGACTTAGACATCTATCCATCCAAGGTCAGTAAAATGAGAAGCCAGATAGTTGGGGGCAATATCCTGACTCTGAAAAACGACACGGAGAGGGCTGTAAAGCACTGTGAAGTGGTATATAAGTCTTAAGTGCTTTGCTTTTGCTATTGCTATTAAGGCCAATTCAGCTCAAAGGATCAGAAAGGGGCATAGCCTCAATTCCTGAGATTAAATTTTGGGTTCAAAATTAGTTGTTCCTTGCTTCTTATTTTGACTCTTCTTATAGCTGCATTATGGGGAAAAAATGACTTAATTAATTTCGAGATGAATCAATTATACTATCACTTGGGTCAAGCAGTGAGATTTAAGACACTATACAGCTATGACATAGAAAAAAAAAGGCATTTATTTATAAACAAGCGTATAAAAAAAAGGCAAGCTAGATGTAGCCAATCACATCGTTGCAAATGATGGGCTGCCGACTTCGGCAGTTCATTAGGGCAGCAAAGCTGCTACAGTCTGTAGAAAGCTCACTGATGTTGGCGTGGGACTGGTGGAAGTAGGGAAATGAAGGGCGCCCATCCAGACCGGCAGGGCAAGAGAAACGCTTGGTGCCATCCCGATCCTGCTTGGTGCGCTCCGTGCGGGAGATGCCAGCCAGCCTGCGGCGAACGTTGCCCGAGAGGTTAAGCAAGAAGCCATGGGGCTTGGCCAGCCAACGCTGCAGCCATCCCCGTTCCGCGCTTTCTTCAGGCAAGTCCATCCAGTTCTCCACTAAGTCAGCAAAGCAGTTGTCCCCCAGCACAAGGGGTTGCCGGTTACGGCTCTGGGACAAGAGAGACACTGTCCAGTCACCCGCATCTGAGGGCTCGCCATCCCGCCACCGCTCTAGGCAGGCATCTGAAGCCGATTTTGGCCGGGGCCTCCTGGCTGGCACCCGACGACGTAGGAAGCCCCCCGAGGAAAGCTTACTGGCTCTCAGGGGTGGGGGGCCTTCCTCATCCCTCCAGCTGTTCCCGGATACTTCTGAATAGCCCGAATCGAACTCCAGGCTTCGCTCGCTGCTGGGTGGGGAGAACGCAACCTCTTCTTCCACAGCCCCCTCCAAGCAACAGGCAGAATCTGCTTCTGAGATAGATGATATCCGTGGGCTGATACAGGACTTTGAGGAAGGCAGAGCCAAGGGTAGCCGTATCTCCTGGGGTTCCAGTCGCAGCTCTCGGTCGTGAGCCCTCTTGAGATCGTGGAGGGTCCGCATCATGCAGTGCATTTGGCCTCGCAGCACCTCGCTCGACTCCTTCATGCACAGCTGTGGGGAGGAAAAGCAATCGTCCTTATTGGCTTGAAATGATCCGCCCAAGAAAAGTGCCCCGTTCAAGTCGCAGGTGAGAGCCATGACAACCAAAGACAGCCAGCACATATACCCCAAATTACACCTATGCTGAAATCCCCGAGCCAGCTTATCCTACTGCATGTATCATGAGTGCCACAAACATCCATAAAAAAGCCACGTGTGGGTCATGAGTCCAGACAAAAACACAAAGATCGATGTCTCCATAGATCTGAGCTGCTGACCTCACACGACCCAGGCCCCCTTAGGCAAAAGCATTTGCTTGACAGATAAACCCTTTGATGATGGTCTCTGACACGGCCGCTCAGCCTTTAGAAAGCACCACTCACACTCTTATTGCTCAGCTTACCTGGTCCACTTATCCCAGTGCCTAAGGAGCCCCCACACGTCAAGGATTTCCAGGGCCGACTACATGCCAAGAATCTCCCTCCAGCTCCAGAGCCGAGGCACCTTGTTAGGCGAGGGGCATCAGATCTGCCTTAGCTCAGGGGTGGAGTTGGGAGCCAGAGCCGCACGCGCAAGCCCTTGCCCCGTCTCGTCTTGGCAGGTCCCCCAGCCCCGAGGCACTAGCTTTTCAGCAACATCTGCACGTTCCAAACCCAACCCCGGCCGTACAAGCAGCAGCTTGTTGCAGTGGGTGAGTTGCTCCACCCGGCAGAAGATGACACAAAGGGTGTGTGAGAGCCTGCAGGAATTACACAAGCCAGCCATTCAAGGGAGGAAAAAGCAGGCGATAAGGCCATCGTTACTGGCAGCAGAGGGGAAGACTGGACCAGCGGCAGGGTAAGCAAAGGTGAAGTTCATCTGGGAGTTAATGAGCTTTAGAAATCCCAGAGCAAGGGAGAGGTCTGCGCTGGAGAAAGGACAAAATGTCCGCATAGGCCAGAATAAGGCCAACGGGCCTTTCTTGTAAGAAATTTGTATGACCAGTGTGATCAGATGAAGTGGCCAAAAGAAGCACATCCCTTCCAGAAGGAAAAAAAAAAGCCCCTACTCTAACAGACACGAGGGGAGGGAGAAATATAAAAGCTTGGCTGAGCGTTTCTTCATAGTAAATAGGACATGTTTGAGGGTCTTTTCTGGTCTGGCAGGGAAAATGTTTTGTCTCAAGCCCATAAACTTGCTTTGCCTATTTCTCAATCCTCAAGTGACAAAGGAAGAATTGAGGGCTCAGATACAAAGACTTCTGCAGAACTCCTTCCTGTTGCTTTCTGAACGACTTCGCAGTTCAGATCAAAGATATACCACAGGCCACTGCTCCTCCAGGCATGATTTGGACACAGTGACAAGAAATGATTCATTTTAGCTGCTCTGGTGATACAGCATACAACAATCTTCAGTGCCTGGCTCAAAACCAAGAACAAATGTGTCTTGGTGTGATAGTCCAGTCACAATTCCAGGGCTAAGAATGTAATCTTTTTTTTAAAAAAAAAGTAGTTTATATATTGTTTTGTTTTGTCCATAGATCAGTTTCACTTCAAGCCTAGGGGAAAAAAATCGAGCTCCTTTCTTAGTAACAGCATCAGTAAAAGACTTTTACACTACAGAACTGAGTCAGCAATTGGTGGGATTTTAAGAGAAAAACATCCCCTCTTCAAATCTAACATTGAAGATATTAAGAAACAAGGAAACTTACGTACAATTCCAGCTGAGCAGCAGCTGGAAAGAAAAAGAAATTCTCCTGGCCTGACTAGCATCTCCTGTGGAATATGACTCCACATCCTGTCCCGAGCCTCGTAATAACGCAGGCCCATGAGACCATGAGAAAGCTTATTAAATATGTAATCATACAGACTCTATTCAATTCAATTGAATTATGCAGTAATTCAATTAAGGTGTTAGTTTTCTCCTGATATGCAGGCCACCCAAAAACCAAGTGCAGTCCTGAGTTCAAAAACCGAGACTGAAACAAACCAAAGTTTGGATGGCTGCATTAACAGAGAGATAGAACCAAGATCATGTGAAATGTAAATACCACTTTATAATGCCTTGGTGAGGCCACACTTGGGGTTCCGCATCCAATTTTGGTCACCACGATGTAAAAAAAGATGTTGAGACCCTAGAAAGAGTGCAGAGAAGAGCAACAAAGGTGATTAGGAGACTAGAGGCTAAAACATATAAAGAACGGTTGCTGGAACTGGGTATGTCTGGTTTGATGAAAATAAGGACTAGGGGTGACATGATAGCAGAGTTCTGATACCTCAGAGGCTGCCACAAAGAAGAGAAAGTCAAGCTGTTCTCCAAAATACCTGAAGCAATGGGTAGAAACTAATCAAAGAGAGAAGGAGAACTAAGGAGAAATTTCCTGACAGCTAGAACAATTAATCAGTGGAACAACTTGCCTCCAGAAGTTGTAAATGCTCCAACACTGGAAGTTTTAAAGGAGGGATTGGATAACTATTTGTCTGAAATGATATAGGGTCCCCTGCCTGAGCAGGGGGTTGGACTAGAAGATCTCCAAGGTCCCTTCCAACTCTGTTATTCTATTCTATTGGTTCCCAAAACCAATTCAAAGTTGGGAAAGGTGGTTTCTCAGCTGATAAGAGGAACAAAAGCCCAGAGCTTCTGGGTCCCAGATGCCCTAAAAAGGCTGCCACGCTTTGATCCATGCCATACTGCCCTGATAAGCTTGGGAAAGAGAGAATAAAAGATGGAAACAAACAAGATATACTCTGAGCAGTTATGACTGAGCAGCCTTGAAGCCACGTGTGCACACTTGGCACAGAGCAACTTCCCACACAAAGACAAAAAAGACAAAAAAAAATTACGTGTTGTGCCCTGGGCTTAAAACAGCCACATGGGGCACAACGAGCTGCAAAATGATTGGTTGCCCTTGATCTGATAATTTCATAATTAGATTATCACTAAATAAATCACAGATGTAAAACTGGTCTCAAAACTGAGTTTTTAAATAGTTACCTAAAAACATGTCTTGTCTATGTGCAACAACTCCCAGAAACATAGTCAAACTCACACGTAGATGTTTCAACGTCTACCCTGATTTATTAATTCATGGTATGTATATGGCATTTTTCCAAAACCTCAAGCCAGCTTGTTACAAACAAATAGAACAGCAGTAGAATGTTGTCAGCTAAAATCAAATTAAGCTCTAAAAAACAGCCACAAAGTACCAACTACCTCAACCTCAGAGATGGCCAGAGGGCCAGTCCAGTTGTTGGTAAGGACTCTCTACCCTCATGGCTGTAGTGATGGAGGGAGGTGCCTGCTATTGTAGGCTTTTCTGGCATCTGGGCTCATGGAAGGAGAAGCAGTCCTTGTGTACCATGGCTCTTGAGTGGTGAATTCTTAATGGTACCCTTAAAAAAGGGTACAGAAGACCCCTTGGGACAGCCTACCACACACACCTTGATTGGAATAGACTTCCGCATTTAGCCTCCAGATCCGCTGAGATTATAACTGTCAGAAATCTCAGCCAGCATTGCCTTTTTTGTTTCCCCAACATGAGAACCCATTTGGTGAGGTGGTTAAGTTGCTAAGACCAAGAGGTTCTGAGTTCTAATCCTCCCTTAAGCTCGTAAACAAGCTGGGTGAGTTTGGGACAGTCACACTCTCCCAGTTCAACCCATCTCAAAAGGTGGTTGTTCTGGAGAAAACAGGAGGTGTGAGTATTAGGTATTTATGCCACATTGAGTTGACCAAAATAAAAGTGGGATAAACCTCTAATAAATAAATAAATAAATAAATGATTGGAAAGCATAAGGTTGGAGAAGTACTCCTTCCTCAGAGCAAGAAAATGTTAAAGAAACAATTTACAAGAAGACTTCATCAAACTCAGAGCCTTCCTGAATTATACTACATTGGCTAGGAAATATGGTAGATGTATCCCAACATGCCTGGAACCACCAAGGTTGGAAGAGTTGCCTATTAAATGATTTTTGGACCGGCACATGCTGAGAGATTATAGGGCCACACTTAAGAGTTATCCCACATGGCTGTTTTCAAAAGAAAAACAATGCTGCTGCTTATTTCTCAATATGGTTCTGGCAGCTGCTCAGCCCCTTACAGGGACCCCATTTGTGGTGTCAGTAAAGAATGACAAGAATTTTGCATCGCATATAAATACAAAGCAGATATTGCACTAAACGTTATGAGGTTTTCATCATCCATTACATCTCTCAGTCTTATTTAATCAAAAGAGCTCTTTCCACCATGATATCACTTTTAATAGCCAAACTTACCACTTCAGGGCTTCTCAAAACATGTTTTTTTCCCTTTATATTTTTATATTCATTACAAAATATCCAAGTGACTACTACCTTCTGTGGGTGCCACTAAGTTTGGACAACCTGGGAGCTTATCAGACCAATAGGATGGGAAACTACATTATCTTTCATCATCATCTTAGATCAGGGGTGTCCAACCTTGACAACTTTAAGACTTGTGGACTTCAACTCCCAGAATTCCTCAGCCAGC